TGGTGTTAATGCTTAGTTGTGTGCGTTCTTTAAGATTGGTGTCATTTTGTAATTTTTGTTTGATGATATTTAAAGTTTTATCAACAGGAACGTTACTGAATAGACTAACAACATCAAAACTTACTAGAATATGGTTTGGATTTATGTCTATGTCTGATAATTTTTGTAAAAAATGTTCATAATTTTTAATATAGCAAGTTGTGTTATTTATTAGGGGATTTAAAATGTTTAAAAGATATTTGGCTAAGGGATGTGTAGGTGAATTTATACTACTAACTATTGGTCGTAAAGGAATATTAACTTTATGAATTTTTGGAACTCATACATATAATTTAGCTGGGCCCAGCAGATTGCAGCCAGCGGTTTGAAATATCAAATTAATTGTGTATGCATGCAAAGAAAATTAAATAATCGGTTAATTTCTCAATAAAGTATTTTCAGCTTTGGTTTCTCTGTGGATGTCTATGAACGCGTGTGAGTTCTTAATCGGTTACTAAATTGGAATTATGATGAGACTCGGAAAAGTAGTGAAAATGTATCATCTGGGTATTACTAATTACTATCTATTTTATATTAAATAGTTAAGTATAGAAAATGATTTGTGTACATCAAAAGGTTAAGGAAGTGCTAATATAGTACTGGAAACTACGCGAAAATTTTCGACTGGCACGCCGGCGCAAAGAGCTGAGCCATCATGGTGACCGTTGTTTTGTTTTGGAAATTGGTGAATTCCAGAAGGTGAAAAGTCCTGGAAAATGGTATTAGGTCGAAAAATGTATAGAAAAAATGTTGTTTGTTTCGAGATTTTCTATCAGGTGAGCATAGTCTTAATCGGCAAAGCGGCAATCGTAGTACCAGATTGTATTGTAAAGGATTACCAAATGTTCGAATAATCTCGAACCTTGATTTGCAAATCGCACCCCGTACAGCTGAACCCTTTTGAAGTATTTGGGACGATTTAGGTTAATTTTTACTCGAATCTAACGCAGCAATTTGCCGCAGTCGCCGTCCTAGATGAACACAGAACGCGCTAAGCTAAGTCTGAGATAGAAAAAGTTGCCCGAATTCGCCAATCTTCACGGAGAGTTATACAGACATTAAAAAGCTGCCAACATTTCCCTCTCGATGGGCATTTAGTTCTCTCTGGAACTCTCTGGAATGAGCGTTCTTGCTCCTTTTGCTTTCGAGAAATGAGCAAGAACGTGACGGAAAACATGAAATTTCGGCATAATCTTGCATCTAAGTGCCCGATATTCAAATTTCGCTTGCGTGACCAGGGAAGTCTTGGTCTTGGTCTCGCTTTACTCATCACAAACCCGGCAGTTGCCCTATAAAAAGGTTTAAAAATTCCTCAAATAACTCGCGAATAACAATATTAAAATCTTTATCGCACGCTTCCGCTTCGTAGCACACTAGCACAGTCTATACTCGACTTCCAGCAGAAAATAAACGCTGCAATCAATGGCCGATAAACGTGGTACAGAATCCAAGAATCTCTCTCTCGAAGAGAACCAGTTGCCAGACTCGACTGTGTTTTCCCCCGAAGACGCTCTCGAATGGGGTGAGGGCTTCTTAAAAGAGATGCAAGCTTGCTCTCACCCTTTGATCAAAAGAAGCCATGTGAACGCTCTTGAGGAAATGGTTAAAAAACTACGCCAAATGACGCAGCCGAAATGACGTTATTTATATAACTCTGCGTTATGTAAGTTATGAGTGAGTTTAATGCAGTCTATACTCATTGTATCTATGTATTCAAATAATGTTGTAAATTGTAGATGCAGTAAATATAATAAACACGTATCTGTTCATATTTGTGAATATTGGAAATATGTTTAAATATGTGCAAAATGTATGCATATATTTAGATAGAGATAGTTTAGATTTTGATTATTTTACTACAATGGTGTGGTTGATAAAAATATGGAAAAAAATTGTTTTTTAATTAAAAAAAATGATCAAGTTTTATTGTCACTTGTTGCTCAATTCGAATTCATCTTCTCTTCACTTTCGCAATTTCTGCTCAAATTACTTGAGTGAAAGCGAGCCCCAAATACCTACCTTGTATTAAGCGAGCTCCAAATACCGCAACTAAGTGCGAATTTAAGGGAGTCTTCCAATGCATTCTCTCAACTAAACAAATAGTTTGCCAAGTGGAGTTAAAAGCAGGTTTCACGAGCTAAATTTTAACTAAACTTAACTCCCAACTCTTGCTTTGAACATTTCCTGCTTAAGCTCTAGTAGTGGTTTTCCTAAATCACCCGGTATTTTATATATAGGTACAGCGCGATTCCTCAAAATGGTGAAACGCGCTACGTATGAAAGTATTATTATACACATTTGGAAATTCCGAAATTTTACATAAATTCACTTTTTTTTAATGGGACACCATGTATTATAAGATCCGAAGTACGTATTTTCCTACCTTCACAAATATACAGGGTGTCCCATAACCAAATGATCAAAAAGACACTGAGACATTCTTTGGCTCCATTCTTGAAATCCATTGATTTTTTTCAGTTGATGCACGTTTTGAACATTTTTGGGCTCTTTGAAAAATCGTGCGGCACCAATTGATTTCATATTTACCACTTTTCGCAGTTTTTTTCAGTTTTAATTCTTGAATATCCAGGGTGTCCCGTGAGTCGGTGGCGAAAGCTCAGGAGCGCGTTTCTCGGTCACTTTTAAGACGAAAATGCCAAAGTTTGAATGAAAATCTCCGATCACGTGCTCCTTTAGCAAGCAAGTTTGCTGTCATAAAATGTTTTCACAACTTCTTCAAACTCTCTGCTCTTTTTTCTAGCCGCTTTCTTTCATTGGTTATCTATACAGGGTGTCCAAGACTGCATGTGGTCTCAGAAAAATGATATAAGTAAACATAAAAATGCGTAATCTTGTTATTCAAATTTCGCTTTCTGGTTCAAAACCCCTCGAATTTCCTCACTCATATTGTTATGACCGAAGCGAATTTTCATGATCAACCATGTCATCATGTTGTTTCAAAAAATCAACTTTTGTTGTGCAGCGATAACTGTTGCGTTCTTGGCTCGAGTTTCACGATTCAGAGCTGATGTTGAAGCTTAATGCGCGATTCAAGAGAAA